GGGGGGGGGGAGGCGGGAGAAACTGGAACTCTTGAAATATCTATTCATCCATTTTGAAGTCTGGATCTTCTTTCTTCAGTTTGCTGTACATTCACTGAACAAAACTTGTATTTATCACTGGGACTTTGTTCTAGGGTTTTGAGTTATTCTTTCTGTTCCAACTGACATGGGAGTGAACAAAGCCAGAGCATGACATTCAGCACTGCTCTAGTACCTCTGGCTCCAATATATACAAAGGAGCAGATCAAATTAGGGTGCTTCTTGGCCTGACTGAAGATCTGAAGGAGCATGTTGCAGGAGGGGCCCCACAATGGAGTGGGGAATATGCCAAAGTTTGTCCTTGGGCAATATCAGTAAGTTCTGTTATCAGTAATTATAATAGAGGAGCTCTGTTACTCAGTCTTCTGTCAGGTAGTTTGAGCATTAGTTATGTGGGTTTTCTTTCCTTGGTAAGACTATAGCTGAACGTGAAAGCATCCAAATAGAGTTGGGTACTGTGTAAATGGTTTCCATGAATCTTACAAACTGAAAAAGAACATGGCAGGAAGGAAATGGCTCAGGTCTTGTGTCATCTCTTCCTATTTAAAATTTGCCATTGAGAACAAATAATTCACTACACAGTAAAGACCTGGTGTCATTTGTGATGGTTTTTTCACTCTCCGGTATTGGAACGGATTTTGGAGGAATATAGACTACTGTGGGAAAGAAGACTATACTCATCCTTGCCCCTGAACGCCAGTGTTTTAACACTCAAATCTCATGTGATGTAGAACAGCTAACATAAATGTAAAATTGTGGGCCTATGACAGACAAATGAAACCTTAGTGAGAGTTGAAATCAACGAAGAAAACACTGAGCTATCTAGAACAGCTTTCATCTAGTAACAGTCACTGTTTGATGACTCTCTTGATGATTGTTTTCACTCCTTCCTTCCCCAGTTTGTAAAGATGTCTCAGATATACTAAGGTTAAAATCAAGATCTTATTTTATTTTAATATTATCTTGGGTATTTATTTAAATATGAACTGCCGTGTTCTTGTTTGGTGTGCCCATTTAGTACTATCCAATAATAAAGGTTAACATCATTAAGCACTTATGTGCTAAGCACTATGTGCATTATTTTATTCATCCATATAAGAACCCCATGAAGTATGCACTATTTCAATCTCTGTTGTAAAGATGAACGAGATATCTAAAGATAAGAGCCTAAACATGTGTTCATCACTCAGCTCACAAGTCCTGCTTTCAACCACTATTCTTTCTACTAGTGTTTCAGCCTTCAAAATGTAGTATGTCAATTTCAAAAGGAGTAAGAGTTAAGCTATGAATACTGCGCTGTGGCCCAGGGCACAGGCTATGTCAATAAACCAAAGAATGGAAGAGGATGGTGCCATTCTGTGAAGGCTAAATGCTAACCATTGCATCAGTAAGGAAAATGGTTTTGGAATTAATCGTGTTATTAGAGATGAGCAATCCATATTATATAAACTATCAGCAAGATGTAATGAAGCTAGAAAAGATCTAGAGATGAGAATATCAGAATCAAGGAGAAAGACATAGGACTTGAACAAGAGACAAAAACGATTAACATGTTTTAGTGAAAGATAGTGCTTAGTGGGGATAGATTTCTGAGGATTGCACAGATTACTTGAAACCTGACTAAATTAAAACACAACTTTACCCAGCTGGTAATAAATATTGAGAAGTTATAAGAACTAGCATGCTTTGAAGGAGGCCCAGATTATCTATATTTTTAAGGTTTGAATTTTTAGTAAGTGTGGGAAACTAGTATTTCTAAGCTTACACATTGCAGTTTCAGTGATTCTTTCATCATGCAGATCTGATCACCGGATGCCTTCTTCGGTTAACTGGTGTCTCATTGTTAAAGATAAAACAGTCCTCAACACAGCCATGCAGAAAACTCAAAAATTCTTGCCCTTCCTTTTCCAGCAAGAAAAATCACACCAGCCCTCAGGGGTAACTCCAGCATCTTGCAGCATCCAAACATCACAGGGCAGCAGCTCTGTCTAGTCTCCTTGAATCCAATGAAGGTTCCCTACCTATTTCCTGGACCCTCCCAGCACCTCTTTTCCTAAAGTCATTGGTGCTCCTCCTCCCCCCACCCAACAGCTTTGTGTCTCCAGCAGCTGTAATCAAGTAAAAGCCCTGGAGATACTATTGAATAGAAGAAACTCAAGGCCTCCTAAATGCCACTCGCCAGACCTGAATTCTGGTTTGGTTCTGTGGTGGTGAGAACATTTTCATGGTTGTTTTGAAAAACTGGAGTGAAAAGGAATCCTTCCCCGTCCCCAACCCCACCCCCAGCATATGAAAACCATAATGTGACTGAAATCAATACAGCTTAAACTACAAGAGACACAAAAATTGCCTCCTCTGTATTTTAAACCATTTTAAATACAGCTGCCCTGTCCCCCCCCCCCATAGCTTTGTATTTCCCTGAAAACAGTATGCACATTTCACCTATTTATCTTGTTTATTATTTTCTCACTAGGAAGTAGACTCTAAAAGTGATTTTATTTTTTTTTCCAGAAACTAGAAAAATGTTGGGCACATAAATGTTCTTAGTGTGTTTGTTGAACTGATGGCTTTAGGTTAGTAATTGCTTTGCCCAGAGGTTAATAGGCAAAAAGGCACCAGTTAGCCCAAAATTAAATTTTTACGGAACTCTGGTACGAATTTTTAAAATCTTCCTGAGATTGTAGTCAGTTGTGATCTTTAAAAATAAGGCTACCTGCTATACCAGGGGCGTTCAAATTACAGTGCATCAGACACTTGGGGGTTTGTGAAAATGCAGATTCGTACAAGGACGATTTACATTATGCAGTCTGAAGTGGGCCCTACCAACCAGTTCCAGGAGCTGCGTTGGATCACGGCCCAAAGGCTAAGGTTTGAGAAAACATTGGCTATGACTGTGCAAACAAACTCAACACGTGCTGACTAAAAACTCAATTCTTTTCTACAGCAGTGTTTATTACCTACATTCCTTCTGCACCCCTGCGGGCTCTGGCAGTCTAATCAAAGTCCAAGGGATAGGTACTGTTCTTCCCATTTTACAGACCTGGAAACACGATTCACACCCTAATTCTCCTCCGTTCTTATGAATTTTACGCGGTCCCCGCCACGATGAAGGTTATAAAAACCTATGTAAGAAAGAAAAGGTGCAGAACTACCAAGAAAAAGATAAAGGAAATGTGTGCGATGTCCGAGAGTCCAGCCTGAACTTCCCGGGCAAGTAAACTCCCTGAGGGTATGTAAGTCTTTGCAGTGCCCCGTCCCCTCCCCCAGGCCAACAGTTGGAGACTTTTTGGCGCTTCCCGCTGCAGACTTGGGGGCCGCAGGAAAACATTCCAATCTGCGGCTGAGGAGGAGCTGGCGGGGCGAGGAGGCGGGGTCAGTGCAGCCTGGGGCTGCGGCGTTCGAGCCCAGCCGCAGGGAGATGGAGAGAGGTGGGCCGGGGGGAGGCGGGACCTGGGCGCGGGGCCGGGCGGCGCGGGGCGGGGGTGAGAGAGGGCGGGGTGGGACCTGGAGACCGTGGGATGTGCGGCGGTCGACCCCGGCGGCGCGGGGAGGAGTTGCTGCCAGACCTCGGCCCTCCCCTCGGAGGTGGGCCTTACGGGAGGGCGCGGCCCGCTAGGCGCACGGCGGGCAGTGCGTTCCAGCTGCCAGAGTGAGGGCGCTCGGCTCCTGCCCCGGCCATGGCCGAACTTTCTCGCAGCAGGAGCTACCGCTCCCCAGCTTCTCGCCCCGCTCTTTAAGCGCTGCACCCTTTGACCTCCGAAAACTCCGCGTTCTTTTTGGGGCCGTGAGCGTGGAACACCCAGCAGCGACCAGGATGCGCTGAAGACCTCCGAGGTGCGCATCTTGGGTGCCACCGTGGGTCCTAGCGCTGGAGCTGAGCTGCCGCGGGCTGCCACGATTTCCCTACTGCGCTCCTGCAACCCCCACGCCGCACTTGATGTGCAGAGAGGAACGAGACACCATGATCCTAACACGTAAGCTAGACTTGTGCCTTGCCGTCGCTCCAGCCGCGGGAGCCAGCTGCGGAGGGGACCCGCCGCGGAGGAAATGTCACCCCGCCTTGTCAAGTCGGTGCCTGTCGTTCTGTGCTTTTGAAACGTTTGTCGAAGAGACTCGGGATCGAGTCGCCCGAGATTTCTGGAGTGAAGGAGGTGGAGTGTTTGGGAAAACAAGGGTCATAATTTGGGGAGGGAGGTTTGAGTCTCGGGTGATGACCCCCGACTACTCATTATTTGAGGGTCGCGCCCAGGCACTCCAGGTGGAGTCGGGGAGGGCTGTGGGCCTGGGAGCAATCGACTGAGGAAGTGAAGCCCACCTATCTCCCTGTTCGGCTGGGGGCCCAGGACGGGCTATGGGCGCAGGACTGGGTAGGGGGCGCAGGGCCGGGTGAATTCCAGCGGTTTCTCAGGCAGCCCTGTTGATCCCATTCTAAACCTCAGCATGGCACGATCGCCTTTCTACATACTTTTCCCGTGGGGACCGTTCAGGGCACGATGCTCTTCTGTCCCCAACCATAGAAGTCTAAAATGAGCGTTGACTATCCAGACGTGTATTATTTAGGGACGCCTAGACTGTTAATGACACTTGGGTTATTTTAATTGCTTAAAGGTAAATTTACTAAAAATTGTTTGAATTTTAAGCCATTCTTGTTCAAGTACTGTAAACGCTGGAAAATGGCTCAGACTCAGGCATTAGAGTCTAGGTTTGGTGACTGCGGATCCCTGGAGAATGTTGAGGCTATTAGCCAGCCCCATGGCTTGCACGTGAGGAGTTCCTGTTAGAAAGACTGCAGTGAGCCTTCATGTGCTGGGATGTTGACTCGGTTTCCAAAAATGTCCCCTTGGCGATGCCTGTGCCCTTGGCTTCGGGGCTTCGGAGGAGGCGCCGCGTGAGCGATTCCCGGGCAGGCAAACGGAAGGAAGCTCGCCGCGGGTCCGGCCTACCCCCCCCTTC